GTGAGGGGTGATCGGCGCAGGCCTACATCTCGCTGTGCCCTTTGATATGTCGGACATCCAAACATCTGCCATTGGAACCTTGTACGGATCGGAGGTCATAGGCTTCTTCACAGTTAGTTAGATGTATTTGGAAGGTCCTCATTTGCCACTGTTACTGGATTCTGTGTTATGTGGTATGTGGTCAATACTGTGTGTTCTGGGATTAGAAAAGGATAGTTCACCATGATATGCTCGAGACATTTATGCGTTTTCATGCATTTACAGCTGGATTCAAAAAGGACTTAAAAACCATTTAAATCAGTTATAGGTCAATTTGTTTAACCCATCTTTAAACAGATATATTTTTATGGCATATACATATACATTAGACTGCATCACTCGCCATACAAAAAAAAAATCGGTACTGTTTTTCCATTGGAATTATAAAATCTATTATATTTTAAGATGTCCACCAAAATATTTCAGAAAAATATTAAGATTTAAGCGCGCTGGACCTCCAAAAATTGAGTTTTTATGAATAAAAATAATTTCTTAAAGATTTTTTTTGTGAGATATCACCCTTTTTATTTCTTTGCTAATAAGCTCATTCAAAGGATGAAAGAGAAAGGTAGGATGAACGAACATTATTCAAAGTTGAATTAAGATGTGTTGGTATTTTAAAAAAAATTGGGACACGAATGACTTTTTTTGCACATAAATAAAAATAGTGGGAAAATACCTTTCTACCGAGATCCCATTAGTCTAAATCAGAATGGTTTTGGCCCAGTTATTTAAGTTTTTCGTAAATCAAAAATAAAAAAAACAGCATCAAAAACCTCAATATTACGATTCCGTTGAAAAGCTTTTTAAATATTTTTATGCAGATTTTTTAAGCCTAATCTGTTTCACCATCTGAGGGTACTTTTTTCAAAAAGTTCTTTTAGAAACTGTTTTTATTCATAACTCCATTTTTGGGGGTATTTTCAAATCGGACCGCTTAAATAAAATAGAATAAATTTTTTAATCCTGGCGGAAAAACCTTAACTTTTTTTGGTGATGCAGTCTAATATACATATGTATATGTATAACGACAATATGTCTTATGACCTAAAATATAATTGCTTTCAGTTTGAACTAAAGCAGAGCTACAAAGCATCGTTCTATAGATTTTTATGGGCTAATTAGTGGATGCAATGCCGGAATTTACACGTTAAAGTCTAAACCTAAACCCTGGGCATAACGCCTAAACCTACTTCCCACCTAATTCAAATATTCTAGCCAAGCATTGCGGAAATGAACTTGTTGTGCTGCACCAAACCCACTTCATTTCTTAAATTACCTTAGAATTGCCTGCATATCTCATCTAAGTTTCACTACTTTGTTTTGATACAAAAGAAATTAATTAAGACAAAACGATTAGCACTATTTTTATGATGCTTTCACTTGTGGCACACACAACTTCCTAGCTCTGCATACAAATTAAGCAAACCAACACGCATTATATCTCCGCAAATATTTATAATTGTTAATGCGCCTCAAAATGCCACAACACACACACACACATATAAACACACACATCGGAGTTGGGTATTATTGAGCATAAACCGTGAAATGTGAAATTCAATGCTCTACTTCCTTTGGATGTTAAGTGAATGCGCATTAGCGTAAAATTAAATGCAATATAATTACTTGTAACTTTAACAGCTCAAACATGCACCAACGCTCATATATGTGTATGTATGTATGTATGTAAATACCACAAATAAAAGTTAGAGGGATTGCAAGGCGAAAATTTTGTGAATATAAAATAAACAAAAAAAACCATTTCTGTTTAATATTTCACTGTGTTGCATCTTGTTTAAGTGAAACTCCAACTCCCACTACACACGCTGCGTATTTATTCCTAGCTTTGCCGTCCGTATGTACATAGATTTGTACGAAGGAGAATGTAAGTGAAAGTACTTTCTAGTTTACTCTTTCCTCAGTACAAATGTTGCATATTGATGGCTAATGTCACGGCACACAACCTAAAGGCTCGCTCTGCATGCGATCATAAGTAAATACATATATATTTACTCATATGCTCAATCAGCCAGCAAAGACATACGAAATTATTTACGTTTATGCAGTTTAAATACCAATAACGGACATGCAAAACAAAAGCGGTAAATCAATCAAAAAAAAAATAAAAATTTCGTCACAGTTGAAGGCATTAGCGTTCGATTTCGATTAGCTTCATTTTTCGTAGTAAATATGTACGTACTTAGCTCGGTAATTCGATGTGGTCAACGAACTAAGAAAACTAGCTAAGGTGATAAGTGTACTAACATGTTTCTCTTTTGTATTTCGAGTGGCACATCAGGTCTCGGGAAATGTCTGCATGCAACTGTACCAGTATTGTAGGAAAATGCCTGGCGGATGAATTCGCTGGGCAGGTCATCGCTATTGATATTGAGGGTGTAGAAGTTCCTGTGGACTACTCCTGAACAAATGGTCTTATAGTCGGCTCTCCCGAGTGTTGGGCAGAAGCCCCGACTTGCAAAGCTGCCCAGTCCTTCTGGCTGATAGGCGACCACTGGCACTTCTGCAGCTGGCTGCGCTTCAATACTCAGTGCTGATAAGTACTCTGACCAGGAAGTGTCCATTAGCAACCCATACGGTACGACTTAAAATCGTTTCGCACTCCGATTTTCGTATGTAGGTATTTCGAGTAAGATGAGATGGAATTTTCTCAGCTGGCCATTTGCTTACTCAAGAGGACGTTCTAACATAGCAAGATCGTGGTCTTTTTCTGTCTTTTTCAGATTTTTTGGGACATGGTACAAATGTATTCTTTTGACCGATAGACGATAGGTTTCGACATAAAAAAAAGACAAAAAAGATGTACCTAGTAGTATGCGATTCAAAACCCCGTTTTAAGATCGCAAAAGTATTGTCGTAGTCCGATGGATGCGACTTTGTATAATTGATTTTCAAAGCACCGTTAAAATTCAATTACTTAACTAATGTTGTTCCAATCTTAACAAAGTGGTTAGGGATTTTCAATACAACAAAATTGAATTGCAAATTTTAAGGCTTAAGAGGTTGGACACTAGCTATTCAAATCAATAACCAGGGACGGTAATCATTATGAGTAAAATAATTTAATCATTAAATCATTATTTTATGATTTTTTTTCGCTTAAAAATAATAATTATTATTGAGTTTTATGTTTTCGCTCAACGGAAATAATTATTATTTGATTTTTAATGATTATTTTATGATTTTTATTTTTCCACTCAAAAATAAAAATTATTATTGAGTTTTATTTTTCTTCTTAAAAATAATGATTATTTATAAAATAGAAAAGGCCATACAGACGCAATCCACTAAAATTTTTACCTGAAAATTTTGGGACTTAATCCTTTTATTAGGGTGTCGCTACCTCTGTACAGAACACGTCGGAAATCACGCTGGTATAGCTTTTGAGTATTTTGAATGATCATTATTCTTAAGTGAAAAAATAAAACTCAATAATAATTATTATCTTTGCGCGAAAAAATAAAAATCATCAAATAATCATTAGTTTTGATCGAAAAAATAAAAATCAAAAATTAATTATTATTTTTAATCTTTATTGATTAAATTCGAAAAATAAAAATTATTGTAAATTACAGTAGAACGTACGAACACAAATACGTGAGTTAAATTAAAATTGTTTTTAGACGATTACAAGTTGATTTTTTTGGTTAAAATTAAAAAAACAATGACAATTTTCCGTCCCTGTCAATAACAGTAAAAACTCTAAACACATTTTGGTAGTTTGAAACTTTATTTGTAATTGTTATGATTTCGTTCCACTCTTGCACATTCATATGTACCCGAACGGTTGATGTTATATCGATTTTTATATTACTTTCTCTATTACATTCTTGTATGTATGTATGTATGTATGTATGTTGGTGATTACATCGTAATTCATCTTACTTTTGTTACTTTATTAGAATTAGAATTACATATTTATGAATGTATTTATGTATGTGTGTTTGATTTTCTATTTTGCGTCATTTATGTAATTGCCGTCTAAATGATTTCTCTGCGCAATTTTTATTTCGTCTTATCTTTTGTTCTTCTTCTTGCATAATTTAGTACTAATATTGTTTGCATTAGCGTAATTTAATTTCAACAATTACGAGACATTTTGCTTGCTTGCGTTTATATTTTCCGCACTTCACTTTAGATTTTCTTCTCCTTCATACATACTACATAGTATGGAATTGTTTTCTTTTAAGTGCATAACTCTTATACGAATGATTTGCTTTAGAGATTGTTGAGAGTGATTTCAAGTAGCTAAATTTGTATTGTATTTAAGTGAGTATATGAGTTTATTATGTGAAAACTTTTACACTAGATCTTCTTCATTTGCAGAATTTATTTAATACCAACTTCTTAGTGTTATTTATTAAGGTAAGGATACGAAAATGTTTAATATAACTAAAGTAAAGATTTATTAGAGAAAGCTAACTAAACAAATTTTTAAATTATAAGTAAACTATTTTTTATTTTATTTTCTGTAATTTATACTATAAAATAACTGATTCTGTTAGAAGTAAAAAAAAATATATATATATGCGCCTAAAAGATGGGCTTAATTCGTATGTAAAAAAATTTAAATGCATTCGGCGGTCAGCCAATGTTTTACTATAATAATATCAATAATTATGTATGTATGTATGTATATATTTTATTGTAAAGTTAATAAACCTCGAACATTCATAAGATTAATTTTGATCTGAGCATACCAAAGTTTATGTAAAGGTCGGTTTTGAACTTTAAGAAAAGTAAACATGGCTATAAATGAATTTTTTTTATTATTAAGTATCTAAAATTTTTGCTTTTATCATCAATTTATTTAGCTTAATCTTTTAGCATATAAATATCCATACATAAATTGTGTGTATGTGTTTTGCAAATATATGTACGTGCATATACATACATACATGTACTGCATGCAATTGTGTTTAATAATATTTATATATAATAATTAATATACAACGTTTCTTTTATTTAAAATGCATTTTTCTCATGGGTTCGTGTTTGTCATATATTTTTACAACTTTCCTTGGACAAAATCTATTCTACATATTCTATTTTTTTTTTGTATTGTAATATATATTTTTATTTAAATGGCAGTTTAAAACCTTACAACATCATTCGCATCAATATTATTTTATTTAACTTCTACATACATATGTATCAGGGCTGCTAACGATTAACTCGTTTCATTTGCTTTGGTAATTGGTTGGAATAATTTTTAATTGGAACTTTTGATACTATTTTTTTATTTTAATTTTTGTATAGAAAAAAAATTTTTAAATCAAGTCCGACTAAAATCTTGGGGAACTGAAAGAACATTTTTTCGTAATCTCTTGTTTTCTTTCGACAACCTCGATCGATTAATCCTTCAAAACTTTTCAAACTTTCCAACCGTTTTGATATCGTTTGTTTCCGCCCATGACAAAACTCATCGCATGACTATTGTCTTAACTACTCGCCTAAAACTATGCCGCAAAAACTTGATTTTAATAGTGGGACTATTTATAACAAAGAATTTGTGGGGAGAAGATGCTCAGAAGAAAATCACCTAGAATACTTTTAGGCTAAACGCTTAAGCTTCGTGCCGTTCGTAGTGAGAATTTTTCGAAGCATTTTTGCTAAAACATTTACTTTGATTCCTAGCAGATAGTAACGCGATTACATTAGCATTATTAATTCTGGCTGGGTGGCTGATTGATTAGAGGTGCGTGCAACCACTCCTGTTCCGGGAGTTGTGAATAACGTTGTGTACTTAGGATCCAGCACTAATACTGAATAACAATAAAAAAAGGAGAGTTACTTTTGCCAACAGGCGCCCTCTCTCGGTGAATAATAAATCACGGTCTACAAATCTCTCATCTAGCCCCGCATTTTATGCTGTGCAGAAACGTGTACAACGTCGAACAAAAGTAAGAAGGCTTTGGGACTTTCGAGAGAATTATTATACGCAAGATCTTTGGCCCTGTTTGCATGGGTGATGAATCCGCTTTCACGTTGCATATTTCTAGGCCCATACATACATATGTGATTTCTAGAAACACACTGCTGTAAAAATTTACAAATCGTGTGATCCTTGGTTAGAGCAGATTAGGGAATAAGGATGTAAATCTCCGACTGGTTTTTCAGTTCGCGTTTTTCATATATATATATTAGTAAGATTGCGCATTGGAGATGTATGTATATGCTTTACCGATATTTCCAAATACAATTTTGGGGCTTTTGCTTGATTGGAAGTGAAGTTAGGGTGTCAGTACGAGCAAAACTTGCTCAAAATTCAACATCAGGACCAGGGATAGGTGTTTTTTAATTGATTATTATTCAAATAAAAAATAACACTTTATTCATAATTTTTCTGTTTAAATAACGAATAAATTTGTATTCTTCATTCAAGTAATTTCGAATGACGAATACATTTTTTATTTACACGTTATTTGAAGTTATTCGATTATGAATGAAAATTTATTCAGCATTCGAAATTACTTGAATGAAGAATAGATTTTTATTCTTCGAAATTACTTGAATGATGATGAAAATTGAGCCTTTTTTTCAATTAATTACTCATTTGCCTGATTACGGTCATCCCTGATCAGGGATCATTAAAGAGCCCGGAAATACCAAAACTTACTCATTTAAATTGTGACTGGTACGAAATGTGGGGGTTTCAATACGATATTGAAAATAAGCTTCAAAGTGCAGAATTGGGGACGGCAGTAAATGCTGCGCCTGAGTCGGGGCATCCGTGATCGCATGAAATTCGGTTCAAATTTTCACTTTCAGGTAACAGAACGCAATCACGAGTCCGCTTTTTCAACACAAATTGTATTGAAGAGAAACGAGCTATTACATTCGATACTCAACGAGTAATCAATCATTCGATCACGGCCCAGATTTGCCTGCCTGTGACTTCAGCTTATTCGCTAAAATATATTTATCCCTGCGGACGTAGAAGCCATTCAAAAGGCTGTACCAAAATTTTAGTGTATATGACAGACAATTACCTCAAACTTTTCCCTTTTGAATTGCGAAAAATGTGGAATTGATTACGGAGGCGACTTTATTTCACATAATATAATACAGTTTTTCCTGCTTAGCTCCGTTAGTTTTGAAACGTTGTATAAGCAGAACTTGTTGGTATGAAGAAAAGAAGGAATCGATTGGTCACTTTTAAATAGCATGCTTCTCACTTTTTCAACCGATTTTCGAGATGCTATGCCACTCTGAAATAACACCTAATCGGTGTATATATATCGGAGGATATATGAAAATTTGGTCCCAAGTGAAAGCTTGAAAAACAATAGTCTAAAAATTATCGCCAAATATTCTTATGAAAAGCCCTTGAATACTTGTATGAAATACGAGTAAATGTTATAAAGCCAAGCTTTAGCTTCTCTAGAAAGTGAGAAAATGATTCAGCAACAAAGTAGAAGGTTTTTCGAAAATCTAGACATACATAGTTACACTCTAAAAAGTCAGCAAATAAGAAATAGTCCCACTAATGAATTTCAAAACTTTTAACATCAGTAAATTTAATAGAAAAACCACATAACAAACGAGTTACTCGCGTTCTACTCCACTCTGGAGACTTACGGCCTACTTCAGATTACATTTAACCTACTTAGTACATACATATGACTTCACATTCAGCTAATTTTTGTTTTAACATTTCTTTTATTAAAGGTTATTCATAGTTTTCTTTATGAATCAAATACATTATCTCTTTTGGTTATGCATATTAATTTTTATTATATCGTTTGCTGTTTCTTTTTTCCTCATATAATTTCTTTTTAAAAATTTCAACTTACTGCTCGCATTCGAGCCTCCTCACCTCACCGTCTTCGTATTCTAAAAATGCAATTTCTTTTATATCTTATATGGTATCATTAGATCAATATATATGTTTGCGTTACTATTATCTAAACATACAGTAAAATTGAAGCATTTTTAGAAGTATATCTTTCATTTACTGCTTGAAGAACCAACCAACAAAAGCTACTTGGCCAACCATGCTTGTTTGGTTATTTTTAATTCTCATTTATTATTTTTTATTTATTTATTATCGCTATGCTAGTTACTTATGTATTTTTAATTTTCGATTTTTCATATACCAGCAAAATTTTCAATACAACATTTTTATTATTTTTTTAATTTTGTAATATTTACTTGCCACATTGCCAACTTATTGCTTCTAGGCTGCTGCAAAAACTTGTTAACGATATTCTTGCCGCTGCATTTCTTAAGAAACTACATACATATAATTTTTGTGACAAAATCGTTGCAAAAATACACAACTCATATTTTAGCTCAGCAGCTTGGTGAGCAATTAAGGTTGCATGGAATTAAAAAAAATATATATATACTTGTAAAAAATTTCCAACTTAAAGCAAAATTCAATGCTAGACTAAATTTTTAACTCTATTTGATTTGCTTGTAAGTATGTAAAAACAATAAGAAAAAAAAAACATTTGGTTTTAATATTTAAAAAAAATTCGTACATTTCATTATAAATGGTTTTCTTTCTTTTCACAATTAAAATTATTTATTTGCATGTACATTTATGTATACATAAATATATATATATTGTATATTTAAAATCTAACAAACATTTGCAATAAATCGAATGGTGTACACATACAGATAAGAAATGGATTTATTAAATTTATGAATACTTGATTTTTTCTTCTTTTTTTATGCATAAAATTCAAATGTGATGTTTTTTTCTAAAAGAAAGAAGAATATGTGAGTACCTACTACATACATCATTAATGAGACATGCACTCACTAACCAACTCATTAAAAAAACCTAACAAATGCAGTCTCATTTTACATATGCACATATAATATTTTTTTTTTTTANTTTTATGCATAAAATTCAAATGTGATGTTTTTTTCTAAAAGAAAGAAAAAGTTGTGAGTACCTACTACATACATCATTAATGAGACATGCACTCACTAACCAACTCATTAAAAAAACCTAACAAATACAGTCTCATTTTACATATGCACATATAATATTTTCTTTTTTTATTTTTTATTTTTTTAATAACACTTCAATATAAAACTAACTAAAATACTTGAGATATTATCGAACATTTTTCGAGTATCTACTAAATATGTGTATGTATTGTATGTTTGCATGTGTCTATGGGGGCGCTGGAATGAAGAATGCATAATGGCTGTGTTTTGTTTTTGTTTTTTAGTTTACGTTTTTTGTCTCATGTATCTGGTGTTTTTCTTCTTTCATTTTTTAAATATAATTTCTTCTACATATGTATGTAAGAATGTCTGTTTAATTATATTGCACACGCTTTTCGGTTTTTGAAACCAGCATTTTTATGCGCAATCAAGAAATTATTTGTATTGTTTGCTTTCACTATTTTGAGTTTAATTTTTTTTGATTCGCTAATATGCTTCGTTTTTTTGATTGTTTGTTTATATTTTTGAAGAAGTAGAAAATGTGTGTGTGTGGCCTGTGGCATGTGGAATTTTCCTAGTTTTCAAAGATCAAAGAAAAAAGAGAAAAAATGCGTTTTCGAAAATTGCGCCCAAAATAACTATCAGCACGCATGCTGTGCGCGCCATTGCGCACCGCAGCTACTATTGCCACACACGCCGTAGACACACCCCTTCTGTGGGACCATTTCTCCACTTCAGCGTCATTGCATGCATCGCCAACGCCATCTCCTCCTTCTTCTCGGCCTCCTCCAGCTCTGCTAGCCACGCTGCGGAGTATTGTTGCTGCTATTTTTTATATGTTTTCTTGTTGCTTTATTTTATTCTAAGTGCTGCTTATGGCGCTGTTGTCTATTTATTTATTTGTTGTTTCTGTTGTGGTTGTTGTTTTTGCTATAGACATTTTAAAAATGTATCTCAATCTGTATTACTTAGTCTTGCTCCGTAGCACCCGGATAATAATATGGCGGTGGGCGTTCATACTCGGATGCAGGTGGTGCCATTGGGGGATTTTGGTATCTCGGTGGGCCGCCATCCCAATGTCTGCAAGCAAGTAAAGGTGAAATTTATAAAAAAAAATATTCATATACTATTTAGGTACATATATTTAATGCTTTTTTATACAAATGAACGTGTAAAGCAAGAAAATGGAGCATAAACAAATGATGTGGCCACATTGGTAGCGTAAGTGGTAATAGCAAATGCTGCTAGAATGTATTTGTTGAACAAACATGAATATTTATGTTGTGAAGCTCTTTTGGGGTAAACTTACAAAGTTTTGTTAATACAAGTGCGTATGTACTATAAATTTAACACTTTAAAATCTTTTTTTATAGAAATTTCATGTATGGCAATGATGGTGGTGGTAATGATGAGGACGATGAAGTTCGCAGACAGGTGAATATTATGCTGGTGTAGTAAAAAACAAAGATTATAAAACTAGTCAGAGAAAAACTCTCACGTTAAAAGAGCAAAGAGTGATTGAACATACTTTTTAGTTAAAGAAAAAAATTTAAATTCTAACCTAGAAAAGGTAATAATGAAATAAGAGTAAATCGGCCTTATGGCAAATTCCACTTGATCAAATATTCCGAAAAATTATAAAGCAAACCCAAAAAACAGCTCTTACCTATTAGTTTTTGTTTGGCATATTAAATTATGGGAACTATTTATTCACATGTAATTAGCGATAAGGCTAAAAACGCGGTTTACACTCAAAAGTTGGTTAAAAGAAAGAGTAAACACAACAAGTAAACATGAAAATTCTTTAGCTGAAAACAAACAATTTTTCAAATACTGGTTTCTTTACTAAGATTTTAGGCCACAATGTCTTTTGTGGTGGTGGAAAGAAGTCTTCGCAGACGGAAGATGTGTGCGAAGAACATAACGAGTCTACAGAAAAAAGACTGGTTCTCCTAAAATGATGTACCATATTTATATTTTTTTTCATCACTTATTATTTATGTTTTATTTTCATCAAACAATTTAGGCATTTCAAAATCTCCAGAAGGGTTTTTGGGGTGATGCATCATGCGAGTTGAGCATTTGGCACTTATTTTTAATCGTTATCCACCACAACAAAACCACGCAGTATTAGGTAAACCATAGCCGTGAATATCCGTTGAGAAACCGCCGGCAAAAATCACCATGTACAGCACAGCATCCTTTTACATGCAAACAATATCGCAGAGGCTTTCTTTAACTGCGTTTCCACTAATGTTTGCTATCCCAAGGTACTTTGTGCTTAGTTATGAGGTAATTTAGGTCAGTGCCAGACTCAAATCCTTCATTTCGTAGTAAATAGTACTCACGACAGTCTGCTCCTCGTTAAAGCTTAGACTGACAAGACCGTAGAGACATTTTCCGAGAAACAAACACTTGGAGCCCCTATAAGTCGAAAAGACACATACACGAATTAAGAGGCTAAACGTTTTAAACAAAATAGTATTGACGCAGAAATGCGACAAAACCTCCGTTACATATATTCAGATTTAATGAATATGGCGAAGTTTTTGTCTGATGCCTTAGAGGGGGAAGTCTTGGTCTGTATTCAAGTATTTTAATGATAGCATCATAAAAGAATCGGGTGCTCTATTACGAATGTTGTATAAGAAACAAGCTCCTTCGACCAAAACCTTGATAATGTTACTAATATTCCATCTCAAGTTGTTTTCAACATGTGAACCTGATTCTTTACCAGCTACCGCTTTCAAATATTTACATGTTGAAGTTGGAGGCATCTTTTTTATTTTTCCACAAAAGGCATCGATCTCGGGACCCGGAGACATTTCTCAAGGATATTCTCGAATTTCACCAAACATGCTCGTTGCGTTTTCTACTACATTCCGCACGGTTACCGTGATCAAAGTCAACAGCTCACACCTAAACTAACCTAACCTAACCTAGTATAAGTATTCGTAGCTTAAAAAATCATCAGAGGAAGTCATTTGATTTAACCCAATATTGGTACATTTAGGTCACACTAGAATAGGCAAAACACCCTATGAGTATTTAAACATTTTTTACGCGAATTAAAATCTTAATTTATAATAAAAACGTACATACAGATAACTTATTCCTTAGTTTTAAGTGCAGAATCAGCATGGCTTGGAGTACAACATTAATATTTACAGGTAGTCAGTCACACACATGTACGCGCATTAAGAAAATGAAAAAATGTTTTAAAAGCAAATGTGAGACCCCATAAGTGTTAGTAGCAGCGCAAAGAAAAGAAAAGCGTAAAGGTTAGAGTTTTAACGAAGCATATTGATTGGGACGCTCGTGTGAGTACGAAATAATTAGAACAACGCACCACAGCACTAACACCACCATAAACATCATCATCATCATCATCATCATCATCGCTTATCACCATCATCACCGTAGTCGAAATGTTAACCTAATAGAAACCATCGCCCGTCAATGATCTTGGCCTCGTTTCAACGGAACCAACAATACACTTAGGTCTAAGAAAATTAAGACAAAAATTAAGAGAAAAAATATATATATTTGCGAAATAAAAATTAGAAAAAATAAAAGCATTCAAAATATTATTTAAAATACAATGCAATAATTAAGCACATAAAAAAAGTTGAAGGCAATTAATAATAGTAAATTGGCATTTAAATTGCATTTGAGTTAACATTATATAAGTATGTAGCAGTAGGCGAGTAAATAGCAGCAATATTATTGATAAGTATTTTAATTGTATGGCCGTTGAATTTACAATTAAATTTACGCAAAACAAAGTTTCGATTGAAAAAGAGCAGTTATGGAAAAAAAATGTATGTATGTAAATAGTTACTTACTTGGGTGCCATGTCGTTGTAGCGAGTGTCACGCACACCAACAGTTGGTGGCACACCATGCGCCGTAGAAGCGACGGGTTCCTCATAGTATTCACGACCGCGACGTCGGTCTTTATTCTTTCGTCGCTTGTTCTTTGGCCCACTATAAAAATTTAAATTGAAAGTGTATAGTTGCTTGGAACATAAATTAGGAAAATTGTGTTTTTTTTTGGAAAGTAAAATAAACGGCAAAAGCTTGAAACTGAAGACGTGAAAGTATAAATGCAAACATATTTGNGGAAAGTAAAACAAAAGGCAAAAGCTTGAAACTGAAGACGTGAAAGTATAAATGCAAACATATTTGCAAAATAATAATAATAATAATAATAATAATAGCGGCATTAAAAAAATCGAATAAATAGTTTAAATAATGGCTAAAAGCGATAATCGTTTAGATTGAATTGTATTATTAATAAGCGTATGATAGCGTGATTCCTAAATTCTAATTGTATCAACTTCACATTGAAAAATATATAGACTTCCAGATTCAGCGAAGTTTATGCCACCGTCGCAATTTTTCTCAGAAAACCTATTAGGAACACAGGCTCTGCCATATTTCCTCCAGCTTATTGCCAAATATAACAATATTATTGTCCAAGCCCTAGTTTATAGGGGGAGGAGCATAGCAGAATATAGGAGAATGATCTACAAGACTCACAGCTGTTTTTATGGCGCTCCGGGCACTGGGTTCTCACACAGCCAGACTGAATTTTGAATGCAATGGGAAATGGAGCTCGAGTGAATGTAAATATCAAAATGACAAAGGAACGATGTGGGTAACGTTATCGCTATCAAACATTGACAGTGATATACATAAATATCGATAGCAGTAATTGACCTTGATAAACGCCTTTGGGTAACACAAAATCTTTTTGAGTATCCGGCGGAAGATGCTTCATCGGTATAATTCTAAGTGTCCCTCTCATGCTAATCAATCATAGTCTATACGTTAGGGTGTTAGGTTAATCAACATTCTTCAGTCAATAAGCACCAGGTACAACCCAGCACTCTTTATCGCGCATAATGCGCCACCTAAAATTTTTTGGCCACTCCACCACAATGAGTGGGTACGGCAGTAATATGCTTCATCTAGAGTCGCTCCACCTACATACATACGTACATATGTAGCTTAGGTCTTGACCATTTCGGAATGTGCGTGGCTGCTAAACCTTACTATGTATGTACATATTGATAATCATTAATAAAAATATCAAACTCAGTATTAAGAAATTTTTCGATAACAATATCGATAATTTATCCATTTAAATCACGAAAATTTATCAATTTCAATCTCGAAAATTTATCAATTTTAATCCCGAAAGTTTATTGACGTTATTTACAAAATGTATCGATTTTAAGAAAATTTCTCCGTTTTATTCCTTAAAATTTATCGATTCTAATTCCGAAAATTTATCTATTTTAATCTGGAAAATTTATCGATTTCAATCTCGATAGTTTATCGATTTTAATCAAAAAATGTATCGATTTCAATCCAATATTTTATTTTAATCTCGAAAATTTATGGATTTTAATCTCGAAAATATAGATTTTAATTTCGAAAATTTATCGTTTTTAATCTCGAAAATTTATCGATTTTAATCGCGAAAATGTAACGAGTTTAATCTCGACAATTTATCGATTTTAATCTCGAAAATGTAGCGGCTTTCATCTCGATAATTTATCGTTTTCAATCTCGAAAATTTATCGATTACAACCACATAAATTTAGCGACTAGAGATGCGTACTAACACTCCGTAGGACCAGGGTTGAAGTGTATTTCTGCCTTGAAAGCTTCTCATAAAATTAATTTTCCGTTAGGAAGCGACGTAAAACTTTAGGTCTCTGCATTTATGCAACAACATCAAGTCGAAAACAACAGCGCCAAAATATTTTTATTATTAACCTTGGAAACTCTATAACCTTCGGAAATGCAATCTAGAATATTTATTGATTAAAATCTCGCATTTATCACGCTTTATCGATTATTGAGCGCATTCAAAAAATTAAATTTTGCGATGGAACCAAGGAATTTTACACACAACTTCATGTCAAGAGTTTTTATAAGCCACCCTGAGCGTGAAGCAGAAAAATGTTACCTACGCGTCCTGTTTTAATTCACTTAAAAAAGCAATGTTAAAAAAAAAAAAAACACCTGTAAAAACTACTCTATAAGCTAACTGTACTGTATGTACATATCTGAAAACAAGTGTGCAACTTGTAACTTGCTGTCAGTAATACCACTGCATTATATACGAGAAACAAGCAAAGCATGATAAGAAACTTAGAAAAAAACAAAAGCAAATACAGAACAAAAAGCACGTAACTAAATATGCAAGTATTAAAAATAATGTGAATGTCAATAAAATGTTAAATATTTGAAACGTTTCACTTACTTTGCCAATGGAATGTGATCACGTTCACTATATGCGTCATACAAATACTCCCTGAAAATTGGTAGTTGCAAAATTTAATCATACATAGGACAACAAACATTGTGAAAAAAGCAGCATGCAAAATGATAAATAGATATGAATACATGTAGTACATATGCATACGTGGAATAAAATTAATGCACAAATAAAGTTAAATGCGTTATGTTTTCATTAATAGAAAATGAATTAAATTAGTACAAAGCAATTCTCTTTTTCAGTTAATATTTTAGAGGGGCGAGGGGTTTGATTACTTTAATTGCCAAAAATTGGTGGTTTCAAAATTCGAAAGTAAGAATATTTCCCACAATTCTTTTTTTTTTNAGTTGGGCGAACGTTCCAAAAGCTGCTATTCAATCGCTTGTTTTGTATGGAAAAAGGTTTCACAAGCAAATGGATTTTAACAACTTATAATTTTCGTGAGAAAAAATTAAAAATATTTGACATTTTCGAGACCATATAATTTGAAAATATGTCAAATCTGATACTGATACTACCTGTTCAATGTACCTTGCCTGGAACTCAAAAAATGTTGCATACAAATTTTGACAGTACAGAAAAAGTTTCTCAAGTAACTTTTAAAATTTATTTGACGGGCCGATACAGTTTAGACTCTAAACTTTAAACTTTAGAGTCTACTTGAAAGACGGCCCTTAGCTACTTTTCAGTTTAAGGGAATAATTGAATATATTTGGCCTCTACGACATAGCTTGTTAATGGAAGGTGTAAGAGATGCTTAATTGCATAAAAATATGTTTCTTTATTACGCTAATAAACTACACAAAAAATGCGAAAGTCTTATTTTCTGAAAGTTAGTAAAATATCTACCAAATAAAAAACAAAATTTCAGTAAAAAATATACTCATATTATTAAAATGTTTATACAAAAATATCATAAACAAAATATTAGTTGCGCTACGGGATTAGGTAGGTAAGTTTCCACTTACGATTCGACTAGTGGACCAGGATATGGATCTGACTTCTGGTACAAGCTTGCTAATTTGACCGCGACCATCAAGGTGGGCAAAAAGAGCACAACACACAATGCGGCGCCAGCCCAGAAACCATTCTTAAAAGAAGCAAAAATTTCATTGTTTTACAACATATTCGAAAATTTCAATAGCACGCTACTACTTACCAATGGATTAACAACAGAACTACACAGTGCAACTATACCAGAGTCGTAGACATTAGCTAACGGCGCACATAAGCCAATTTTCCGCTCGACTGCCTGCACGACCATTCTCAAATAATTCTCTATTTCACTTGCAAAGTAGTGTGTCAAATTTTCTGCGGTTGCCCTAACAAACTGACGTCCATCTACGCGGAAGAACGTCTGCGCACGTTCAATCTCATTGACCAGCAACGGTATGGATTCGTGGAATGGATGATCCTTATAGCGTAGGCTATGATCCAAATCATCCGCTAGCCGTATAAGTTCCACTGATTGATTTTTCATTGGTATCGCCAAATTGTGTTCGTATGTCTCCAAATGCAAAGCCTGATTACGCAAACTAACTCGTACATCTTTCATATCATCGCTATTTTCGATTTTATTTGCTGTCTGGCTTAATTGTTGAGCAATTTCGGTTAATGAATACTTGGTGATTGTATCGTTAAGATTATCAATATATTGTGCAGAATCAAAATTCTTCAATGCTGATTCGCCGAGGCTCAGTATGCGTTGTTTATCCTCTGGACTTAGTATGAGCACATCGCTGTCGTCAAAAGAAATACCAGCAACTAAATCATCTAAAGTTTGATTGATCTTATACTGAGCTGGGTAATCATTTATTTCATGTATATCGATGCGATTATGTATATGCAACACTTCGTAAATGGTTTGATTACGCTGACAGGCGGTGATCACATGTGATATGCGTAAAGGTGGTAAACCACCTGAAGTCAACTTGCCCTTATTTTGTGGCGGATAAAGCACATTATTCAAGTCAATAGAGTTGTCAAGTTGAGCGAATATTTCATCGTTTTGAGGGTCCCTGGAAAGAAAAAAATACATTTCAAATATCGCTTTCGATAGTCTCGCGAAAGTACAACGCTTACTTTAATGGAAGACATAAGCCACGGTAGGCGATTAGACCGATCAAAAAGTGAGCCAGCGCTACTAAAGCAATCAACGAAATGAATAGGAAAATCAGTGCTACAGCCCTGTGGATAGATAGAGGATCATTAGTAGCCCATTTTTGTATTGAAAAGATTCGCCGCAACGCTTACATCATCAAGAAACGCGAACCAGAGCCTTTATTACAGCAATCATCACCATAACCGTCTGGGCGTTTGCCACATATGCCACACAGCAATGCAGCTACTAAGCAAACCAAGATCTGTGAATGAAAAAAAAAACGAATTTGTGGAAAAATACTTCTTTCATAAATAGTTAGTGGAAGATTAAATTACCAGCAAAAGTATAGAGCAAACTGCAATGCCGAAATAGAATCTATACGGTCCATATTCATCCAAATAATCATCTGCAACACCAGTGTACTTTTTCGTATTGTCTTTTATAACAAGCGACAATTTGTTAAGTTCCATTTTGATTTCATTTGAGGCGTGTTGGAAAGCATTGCCTTTAAAGAGAAAAAAATGTTGTAATAGTTTAAGTAAGTGGCTTTGGAAAAGTGTAGAATTTTGCATGGTTTTTTTTTGTCCTTTTTTTTGTGTTTAAAAAAACAAACCATCTGATTCACTCACCTGCTTTATTTATAGATTTAATAACTTCTGGTGTATATTTTCCAATTGTTTCATTGAGATGTGCTCGCATTTGACTGAGCATATCACGTCCACGCTTGCCAGCCGAAGCTATGTCCTTACTTATCAAATTATCTAAGTTTTCGATAATTTTTGTAACATCCGGCAGCTAAGAGGAATGAAATTATTGTTTAATAAATTACCTACATGTACGTGCATATAAAAATTTAATATGAGCTTGATTTTTATTAAAATTCGTTACCTTTGGAAAATATCGGTCTACCATCTGATAGCATTAAAAAGACAAAATTTATAGGTTTAGAAAATGTTTGCCAAGAAAACCGCCTACACAAACGCAAAATTCAATTTTATAAATACTCCTTTTTAATAAAATAAAATTATGCTTTTTGTAATAGAAAAATAAAACGCCAAAAAATGTTTTTTTAATTGTACATTCTATATTACTAAGAGATAGTATTGATCTAAATATAAAATTAACAGTAAAATTAAAAATAGTCTAGTTTCATGAAATTAAGCCTGCTACGCAAAATTTACTTGAAATATGAAACGAGAACCCAGATAAAAATCCCAATAAGTTCGAAAAATCCCTAAAAAGTCGCGAATCATTTTTGTATTTTATTATTGTCGGGGCTTACAAATAATTTGCTTATATTATCGATCATTTTCTGCCCAAAAAGAGTTTGCCGAATTTTGGCTCCTGAAAGGGCTTAGCAAAAAAAAAACAAGCATGTCGAAATCTTGTTCTTCAATCAGCGAGTTTAAATTAGGTAAGGCTGCGATTATGCTTTGTGATGCCACGTGATTTGGAACGGTAATCAATCGATAAAAGGCCAGGAAAATTACGAAGGTGGCTAATATCAATATGCGAAAGTTGTTGTTGTTGTTGTTGTTGTAACAGCATACAAATTTCCCAAAGAGATTTTGGGGAGTGTTGCTGGAGTGACAGTCCTTGGCCAGATATACATCTGGGTCGTTCCGGTTACGTAGACCCGACTGTCGTGGGAACGATATGCGATATGCGAAAGTTCTTCAGGGTTGGTTATAAAAGTATGAGCCAAGTTACTTTAATCTTATCCTCGCAAGAGCTTAGAACCACTCAAATAGGGAGAGCTGCTTTGGCCGCCACCGATCCACCCTGGGCCAAACATGCAATTTGCCAACTCTTCAGCTCTGCAGTTTTTCGCAATGGTACCATAACGTGGCGCACATATACCCCGCCTCTCCACGAGGTGCCTCTATTCAGTCTACCATCAAAAAGGTTTATAATGCAAAATATTTTCGTAAAAGCGATACGAGAATTTTTCAATTGTATTTTAATTTTAAAATCTAGAAATAACCTTTTTACTACCTTCTAGTTAAGAGGCAAAAAGCAGTACTATTTTTTTGCAAGCATATGAATGAATAACTGGAAAAAAGTTATGTGTACCGATTACTACGCTTACCTGGTCATAATGTATACCGTTAGCATCAAGCTTGCCGATTTCATATTTGTTGAGCACATCTTGGCATGCCTTATTATTACATTTTGTAAGCATTATTAACAGATCACGTTTAACACCACGCAAACCTATTTTTTCCCCAAAAGAGAAGATCAAAAATTTCTTTAGCATACAAAAATAAACCAATTCGACATTTGCTACTTACCATCACTCAATTGTGAGGCATTAACGCGCAGTTCGTTGGTAATGTTTTTCATTTTTTGTAACTTTAATCTAAGCTGTGGCAGTTTTTCTAAAAAGTCTGTAAGGTAAATAAGCGAAACTGCCATGGATTTCTGTTCCAACTCTTTTATAATGAAACTGGATGTTTCTGCGGATGAAATATTTAGTCATAATTATTGTTAGTGAAAATCCGATCTATAAGCATTTGCTTTGTATTTATTACCCCGCAAAATGTTGTCCAACTGTATAGACAATTGTTTGTAATTTNAATAAAATATGTAGTCATAATTATTGTTAGTGAAAATCCGATCTATAACCATTTGCTTTGTTTTGTATTACCCCGCAAAATGTTGTCCAACTGTATAGACAATTGTTTGTAATTTGTAATTAAAACATGATCGATTTGCTCGGATGTAACTTCGAGGAATTTACGGGTATCAATGCTGCCATCACGTACACGATTTGTGCTATTCTCAATACCTTGTTGCATATAACTGTTTGTGGCAAATGTGACAATAACACCGAAACTAAAAACGAGTTAAGTAAGAAACGGAGAAAATTAGATGTAATTAATATGTTTGCAAAGCTTTACGGGGGAATGTAAACAGAGTTAAATACAATACGTTTCTTCCGCTGAAATGTTATATGCATGCATGTAATTTTGTGTACATTGATGAGGGTATGTGGGAATGCATGTATGTATATACAGTGTCTCACAAAAGTATTCCTTATTTCTGAGTAAAAAAGATTATATTTCAATCGAAAATAAAAAATATAATAATAGCATTTTTTTTTAATTTTGCCTAAGCGAGAGTATCCAAAAAGCGAAACCTATTCTGATGAGATTTCTAAAAATCAAATTTTCGATATTTCCAATATGGCTCACATTCCTAAAAAAAAATTATCGTACTTTTCCCATAACATGAATGCCGCTGTAGCGACAATATCTACAGAAATCTATTTATGGCAAAGAAATACCTCTACTAAAAATTACCAGATTTATATCTGGCTAAGGATTGTCACTTCAGCAACATTTCCTAAAGCTGTGGGAAATTTTCATCCAAAAGCCAACTACTTTTGATGAAGCTACCTCGAAAGAGTTATAACATGTATCCTCTTACAAGTGCATTCTTAAATTGATTTTGATCGGAATTAAAGTTGCAAATGGGCATTTAACTACTTAAGATTACATGATAAATCTGGCCGAAAAGAGCGATCCTTAATCACATTTTAAGCCAAGATAGCTAGACACTTGGTTGCCATTTTTCATTGTAGGAGGTCTGGTTTCAAATCCAACGACTTTTGGAGCAGCTGTAATTCCACAATCCAGTTCGACTCAATTTAACTCAACTTTTCGTTGGAAAAAATGTTCCTACAGGAAGCATTTGAGTATCGCGCATAGGCAAAAATAAATGTATAATATTGTTATGGACTATTTATTAGGCGTTGCAATCAGATTATTAAAAAATGCGACAACTGAGAGTAAGATACACAAAAATATTCAGGCCATGAACGACCGAGTATAATCCCATCTAGACAGCTCATATTTCAGTTGTTGTTGTGGCACTCGACTTAACCTTGCCTAATTCAGTAAATTCACTAAAAGTGTCGTCGTTGTCTAACAGCAGGCACAGGAACCAGTAGGTTTCGACGATGTTTGACCATAGGAAGAGGTGTGTTGGATGAGCTGGTTTAAGTGGGGGCTTATGAAGAGGTGGTTATATTGCGCATCCCCTGGTAGTCCTACAGATCTCAAGCTTCACCCAATGCGTCCTACTGGCCCTCGGCTACAACAGAGTCCCAGCTTAATTTAGAACGGGTCGACCAATCGAGTTTTATTTTGCCAACAACATGCCTTTGTATATACCCAAAGGGTTGCCGGCAAGCGAGTTGACGAATTTATTGCCGCTTTGTACTTTATCACACAAGACAGTCGGTTATATGCATTCATTTACTCATTTTTTCCCCAACCTTGTCCAGCGATCTAACTCTGTTTAGATCTGCGAATCCCATATTTTATTTTTTTCTTTCATAAAGTATATCACTTCGTTAGCTATAACTCAAAGAAAATTATAGAAATATTTTCGAGTGACTTTGCCCAAAAACATATAAAACTCGAATACTCTTGCCAATCACTGTATGTGTTGTAAATTGTTTAGAAAGGTGTGTTACCACAAAGAAAATTACGCTACTTACAGTAAACCTGTTGCCAATGCTATGAGCAAAAATCCCAAGAACACACGGCGGCAGGTGTCATGTTTCTTGTCAAACGGCTCCGAGCGACCACCGCAAGCACCAGCACAGCGACAGCAACAAAAGCAGAGGCTATACAAAAAAAAAAAAAAACAAAAGGCAAAAACAAAAATAATTACAGCTAAGTACATGTTTTTCTACAATTTGTTGTGCTTTTTTTTTTTAGTTAAGTATCTTTTTCTTTTTATAAATATGCATTTTTTTTCCTACCCAACAACTGGCATTGTAACAATTAGCAGTCCAACGAGCAAAACAATTAGCCATATTAGCCAATAGTGTTTAATTAAATCAATCCATTCGTTGCGTTCAACTTTCGGACCAAACTCAATATCGTTATCCTTGACCACGAGGTAGCCTAGGAAGAGAAAATGTAACGAAAATTTTTCAATTTCAATTGCAAATTAGCATATACATATTAACGAACAAGCTTTATTTAGAGCTCACCTTCTGGCAGTGGATGTTCGCCGGTGAAGAACCAAATAACTTTGTGTGTAATATCGTATAGTGGCTGCATGCCACGCGCATTATAAGCTGTGGAGCTAACGTACGTGACATTCTTTGTCCATTCTGTATACTTTGTTGGCTTGAGATTCAATTCATTGCCCAAATCGAATGCTTGAGATTGGCTGGCGAAAGTGCTAAGCGCAGCTAAGAGCGCAACAATGAGCGTGCTCCAGCAGGAGATATGGCACCGTGTATTGGTGGTGGTGGTGGTGGTGGACGAGGTCGGGGTATGGCGGCACTGCTTTGCTGCTGACTCACCGGAATCTATTTGCATTTTCATAGCTAGTGCATGTGTTGTTAATGTTGTTGTTTTTATTGTAGTTTCTGTTGATTTTTGGTACATTTTTGATGATTTACTTGAAATGTTCCGTAACTTTTTGCGAGCGAAAGTGTGAAGATCCCTTCAGATCACTTTTTTTTCTACTACTAGATAAATAACTCTAACTAAAACATTGATGCTTTGGTGTTTTGTTTTTGTTGTATTCTTTGTTTACTACAATGAGCAATTACAAATTTTCGATGCGAATAAATCCGAGTGCTGCTGAGCTGCTAAGATGTGCTACATTTGCGTTTGTTTTTTTTTTTTTAATTTTTTGCTGCTGCTATTGTTGTTGTATCTCGTTTAATATTTATTTAGGTATTTATGTTTGTATGTGAGTGCGTGAGTAATTGAATATGAATATTGTAAATGACTGACTGACTGATTGATAGCTTATGTTGCTGTAGATTTGGCACACGAACGCTCCAATGCGCTGCGTACTTGCAGTTGCGCTTCAGCAATTAACTACAAATTGCAAATGCTGCAAAGAAAGGAATGACGAGGAAAATCTATTATTAATTAAATTTATTCATTTGATAAAATGATAAAGTAGTTAATGATAATGCTAACATATACATATGTATGTCTATACAGATAAAAAAAAAACGTACTCCAAGCGCTGATGTACTACACAGGCGTTTCAAGTGTCTCTTCAAATGTAACGTGACATAATTAAGCGTAAAAAACCACCCGCACTGACATTATCATATACATTTGTACGTATGTATGATGTATATTTGTAGTAAGTATACCCGTGCAATTATAAAGATGAACAAATTAAATTTGTATGAGTAATTTTTAAGCAGACATAAAATTCAAAGGAAGTTAGCACTTAACAGCCGTATTTAAAGGGCTTTATAAATGCAATTCTTTGGTATCTAAAGATACAGTAACGATGAGAAAAATACCAGTCATTAATGAATCACTGGGGTGCATAGAAGTTGTGACACGTCGCAACTAGCCTCTTCGATTCAAATGTCAACCTCTCGCTGAACGCTCTGTCGATCGAGTTAGTGGCGGGAAAACCATTTTAACGCCAACTGGCTACGGTGTCTGAGAAACGAAATTATCTTTTTTTACATCAGGCAGCAGCATAGCCAACAATATTTTGAGATTCAAGTTGAAATATTCGTCAACAAAGGAAATAATAATGAATCTGCAACTCTGATGGCTATGTCAGATTATCGAAATAGAAGAGTCGTGATTCCTCTGCCATTTCTTTCGGAACTTCCTTAGGACCACTAAGCGGTTTTTGAAACTTCTCGGGATTTTTCGGAAATTTTGTCGTACATTTTTACATTTTTTCTCAAGTTTTTTTTTGTATTTCGAGACGCTTTGGGGTTTACTCAAAACACTCTGCGATTCAAATTTATATGGAACTTCTCGAAATTTTTCAGTAATTTCGAAATTTCCGGAACTTCTCGGAATTTATTTTGGTACATTTAGATTTTTTCGAGCTTTTCTAGGTTTTTCGAAGTTTTCACACACTTATAAATATTTATACATAGGTATAGCGTAGAGAAAGCGTTAGGTGTAACTGGATACATTGGGATGTTTTCGTCGCATTTTGGGATGTTTTCGGAATCGTTTGAGATTTTTTCGCAACCTTTCGGGATTTTTCTTATTTCCTCGTACCTATTAACTTTTTGAGATTTAGCGAGAATCTCGAAATCTTCGTACCTTCTCGGGATTTTTCGAAATTTCTTTAGTACCATTTAACGTTTCTGGATTTTTCGGGACTTTTCGGAACTTTTCGAGATGTTTTCGGAACTTTTTGAGGTTTTTTTTCGAGCATTTAAATTTTTACGAAACTTCTCGTGATTTTAGAAATTTGTGCGGTAACTTTTGTTATTTCGTCAGTTTCTTGGGGTTCTCAGATTTTTTCTGATTTTTTTCGGGACTTTCCAATTTCTCGCAACTTCAAGGGATATTTAGGAGTTTTTTCGGTACGGTTCTACATTTCTTCGGAACCTCTCGTGAGTTTTCGTAATTGTACGGAAGGTTATCGAGATTTTTCGGTACATTTAAACATTTTTGATAACTTTTCAGGATTTTTCGGAATTTTTTTCAGTACATTTAAAAATTTTTGAGAACTTTTAAGGATTTTTCGGGATTTTTCCGTTTTTTTTTTTTAACCGTTCGTGATTGTTCGTATTTAGTCGGGAATTTTAAAATTCAAATCTTATTTTATTACAGACTATTTTGTATATAAAATAATATGAGACGAACTTTTTCTTTATTTTTGCCACAAAAACCAGAAATCATCGTATTTTTCGTGTTCGAAATATTAAAAATTTAATATTTCCTATTATTTGTTACCGATTCTTTAATGATATATTTTTAAATAATAGTTTTAGTCGCATTACATATTTTTTTACCATACATCATGGGTTGTCTTTGTCAATGTTATTGGGGCTTATTAAAATTTTATTTTTAATATTTTTTATTGGGCTTGGGTTGTCATTGAGCATAGAACTAAAAATGGATTAGTCGCCTTTAGATACTTTAAGTTCATTATACAACCACTGAACAGCATTTCGTAAAGAATCGAATCCATTGATTTAGGGGAAGCTGAAAATCACGTTTAGGCAAGAGAAATGCAACTTATGTAACCCTCAAGACGAGCGTGATCACGGTCTCAACTGAAGCTTTCTTATTTATGAAAAGATGATAAATTAAACAACAAAAAATCACGCAAAAATGTCGCTGCCGAAAGCACTGCTCAAAAAATAAAATAAAAAAAACAAGCAGTGTTATTGTTAATTATCAACCCCTGAAAACAACACTAAGCAGGGCTATTCTCCAAAATATTTGTGAAATATGTACACATGTGATTATTTTGACACATTGCACTTGCAAGCGCTTATTGAAATTAATACCAACAATTTCTACATTCTTGAAAATATTACTGGCAAGCAAAAATGTAGTTTAAAATTTGTATTAAATCACGTAGTGCAACCAAAAAAAAAAAAACAATTTGCCATATGAATATTATTTTATTTTTAAATGAGCTTGAACCCACAACTTTAGCTATTAAAATTCCGAGGTAAATGAATCTTCACTCATACATTCATAGATGATATTTTTGCACTAGTATTATTTAATATATGCAGATTGTGTATATGTTTGTGCAATTTCGTGTCATTCACATTGAAGAATGACTACTTTAAAATTGTCACCAATAAAATTACACCCTATGGTTGAACCTCATGAACCACTTAATAACCGCAAACACACAATGTGCACAACCAAGTGCGAAAGTAGTAGTACATTGCGATGGGGAAAGAGACCAACACGAGAATGGCCACTTTATTTCACTACATATCTATTTAGGTAGTATATATGTATATATTGTGAAGCTGGAGAAATTAGTGCACACATGTAGGTTTGTAAATCAACTGTCACAAGCTATTTATGTATAGACATATAAAGGGTTCACCAATACGGACAAACGGACAAATTAATAAAATAAAGTAAAATGAAATTACATCGATCAAATTAAATAATATTAAATAAAGTAAAATAAAATACAAATCACCACTTAGAGTGCAAAGCTGCTAAGTCCTTTTTTTTAATTTTACAGGAGAGGAAAAAAACTTCTTATACAATTGTATGTTACCAGGCTGGTCTGATCTAAGTATTTTGTGCAAATAAAACTACGTTATTTCACTTTCTGGCCCAACGTTTCGCTAAAACATTTTTAGCTTCTTCAGGGGCAATTCCGTTTAATTAAATCTGTCACGAACCATAAAATACAAAAACACATTATAACCAAAGATAATAAATGGAAACATAAAAACATGTACATATATGGAATTAAAATGACAAGAAAAACTACAGATTGAGCTTGAGGACAAACAATTTGACTCACACTATTTTAACATTAATACATACGAATTATTGAACACTAAATACTAATAATCTATACCATCTTTTGTGGTAGCTTTGTCAATACTAAAAGTTAGTTTATAATCATAAACATGAAATGTATGCGGCCGCAATGTTGTCTGTATCTTCCTTTCTGTTCATGGTCTTTTCTCTCCTTTGCATTATTCTTAACTTCTTATAACCATTTTCTTCAAGTATTTTGCAAATCCTTGAATACAACATCATTTTGTGTATTGCAAGCAAAGCAAAACTCCATACGTATCTTAATCAGAAGATTTCGTATTTCTATGGTCGGATTTTCGGCGCCTCTTGTGGACTTATTTCCACTGAAGACTATAGTCATGTGCTGAGTTTTGTCATTGGTTCGGGAATAGAGCAGTTACAATTATGCTTCTCGAATCGCATAATTCACCATCCATAAACATTTTCCAGCAATTTTCCTCATTTGTGATGTGATTTATAGAAAATTTATCGTTAACGGACGTCGTGCTAAAACAAATAAACGGAGAAGATGAAAACGTACTTGCAAGGCGATTTTTATTTTCAACGCATAATCCCAGTAGATAATTTTAGGTGTTAAACGCCCTTCCGAAAGGCATTCCTGAGAGTCAAGAGGCCTTCCGCTCTACATTCCTTTCTCCTTTCATTTTTGTATGGAGTGGCACAAATCGAAGGCCTCATTCTTTTGCTACCCATAAAGGTCCTTCGAGAAGGGCTTTTATCGGACGTACTTCAGAATGACTTTTGGAGGAGTTCTTTTAAAGTTGCTTCTTTAATTTATAAAATTCTACATCTTTGAAGTATTTGCTTAATGCTAAATAATATAAATTTATGCATTCGCGTAAATTATAAATGGATAAGCCCTTCTAGAAGACATGCAAGGAAGCACTTTTTTCAGCCCTACTTGGGCAGGCCTCTTAGGATGGCTTCCCCTAAGAAGGTCTACCTAAATTATTTTGTGGGTTGTTTTAACAGCCATATAAACAAACTTGCCAAGGCGAAAAGTAACAGGTCAGCTTTTAAGCGCCCCTAATGACAGCCCCTGCATTAATTCAAACACATTATGGCGGGTCGTATGGAAGAAAAAGTAATATAAGTAGATATGTATAAATTATTAAACACTTTGTGAATTTTTAAAAAATGTTTCAAACACTTTCTTTTTTAACCAAACTATGCTAATTGAAATGAATTAAATTTTTAAAATCAACATTACAACAAATATGCAGCTTTATTTAGTGCACAACTTAAAGTTGTACAGACAGTACGTCGACACACGCCAATACGCATACACAGCTAAATTCAGTTGTGAGTAGATAAACACTTTTATTTATATTGTGATCAATTACGTTGATGTGCTGATATTTCATACAAGTACACAAGCCACACATTATAACACAGCAGATTGTGTTTATTATTATTTATTTAGTGTGCTTAGTGATAAAAGAAAAGCTTTTGTATTTACTCTCTTTTGCGTTAAGCATGAAAATGGTGGAAAATACATGAATTGTTTCCTTTCTAACTTCTGAACAGGGTTTTATACCAACATTTTCTGAAATACATAAACTTAAGAAAGCTTCCATACTTTTGCTCGGCAAACATTTTTTTCTACATTGCACCTCAGTTGTAATTAAATTTATATCTTATTTTTTCAGTTTCTTAAAAACTCCTTAAATTATTTGTAAACCACCACAAATTTGCCAGAACATAATCTTCTCGTGATTAAAAAATCCATACTTTTTTTTTAGTTCTTGTTGAGCAAAGACCACACCCTGTTTCCTCACTTAAAACGGTTTTAGCAATAAAAATTCCAAGGAGTTTCGATGGAAGAAATACATGTACGTATGTATGTATGTATGTAATATGCATCTTTGCTGTGGCATAATTCAATTTAGGAAAAATAATAATAATAAAAGCTCGTTATCTACATTTTGAAGCGAAATATGAACTCAGATGTGAACCAAACAAACGAAATAAAAAACTGATAAAAGAATAAGAAGTAATGAAGACTCTGTACACTCATACTCTTGCACTTAAATATCGCTTATTTCTTGTAATAATTGAATCGCGCGTTTCCCAGAAACCGAAATTACGCAAATATGAGTAAAAAAAAAAGAAAAATATGTGAATCCCTTGAGTTAGGGAAAAAGTTATGAGATAGTATTTCAAGACTTTTATGGACAGATAAAAAAAGGGTTTCACTATGGTAAGGGCAGTAGGGGCGTTGAAAAAGTAAAAACGAAGCAAACAAAATTGGCAGCTGGAACGTGAACCGGTTTTGAACAGAACCCGCTTTGAACCAGTTTATATGCTTTTTTCTACTAATTAACCGAACCGAAATTTTCCACCAATGTTTTCTTCAAACCGAAAACCCAGCCACTCTTTATAAAGATTCGATGTTCGTTTCGACCCATTTTTATTATGTAGTAGATATTTTACCCACTTTTTATGATTTCTTTACTTAAATATGATAACATTGTGGAACACAAAAAAAAAAGCTAGAGTGCACATATGTTAATTTCGATAACTGTTGGCCATACGAACAATGCCTCATACGTAGATTTACTAGATCAATTCATGTTCTCGAGAAAAAAGTTTTCATGATCCAAAATTCTGAGTATAAGAGGCCAATTTTTTTTCTCCGAGCAGCTCTAACGTCTACAAGAATTATTATGTGGAGTTCCGAATGTGGCGTCCTGTGGCCAATGGTACCGTGTCTCGTTGGTATTATGGTATTCTGAGCGGTTGGTTTTGAGAGAGTCTAACAAACTGCGTGTTCTTCATTAATTTAGCCGTGCCAGAGTGAACATGTACTTAGTATGCATTTGTGCAGATGTCCTTAAAACGCACAAACAGGAATCTCGAAAGAAGTTGTATGCTTTAAAGTTTAAACCGCTTTCCCCATAAATATCTAAAACCCATCAGGCGCGTTCATCGGCTTTCCGCTTGTAACCCGCCACACCCTATAGATATATTTACATGCTTTAATGCTGTCAAAGAGATTGTAGGGAGATCTTCGGCATTCTTAATCGCATATCGAATCATTCATTTCCAGAACAAGTGCCTCGCTAACAGTTTTACTATCCACATTTAGTTTTGATGGATCCTGTTTCAAATTCTATTTGGGAACCATCTGTGCAGATCGGGTTCCGATATTATGTTTCCAGTCTCGTCTGTCAATTGAATTTCGAATTTGTGGCCGAAGTCAACATCACTAATCTGTAATCACAACTTCTGTACTCCACCCAGAATCTGTCCAGAATTAAAGCAAGATCCCTGCTTGACAGTAGGCGCTTTTCAAGTACATTTTTTTGCGTGGAACGTCCAAAAAATGGCTCTAATGCCGCTTGGGCGTCCCGATATACCTATATAGACCTGCTTGTCGCTGCACCCTTTCCAATTTTTGTTTTATTACGAACATTTACAACTGAAAATATCGGCTTAATTCTTCTTCCTTTTTTAAATGCCGCTGGTGCTGCCAGTCCAAAGAAAATAGACATGTGTAATTTTTTACACCATTTTGTAAAATTTAATTACAACAGCACAAGAACACACATACATACATACCAATATAAAACTCTATTTTCATATGGAAGCTTCGTTTTTTTGTTGCTAGTTAGTTGCAGCACTAACAACGCTCAATGTTAATTTTTTAGCACTGAAGGCTACGTAAAACAAGTTTTGTAATAAAAAGATTCGCAAAATTCAAGGTAATATTTCTTTGTTATCAAATGTATGACTAATTTTAAACATTCCAATAAATTTTACATTGAGTGCAATTTTCCTATTATTTTTGCAACAAAAATATTTTTTAGTAAGTTTTTAACTTAACTTGTAATTAAGCGTGACTGCGTTTAGTGACTAACAATTTTTTCTAAAAGCGTCGCGCCTTTGCAATTATTATTTCTTGCAAAGAAAAATATTTTTCATAAAAACTATCAACGGTTCGTATGGGCATGATTAAAAGTTGAATACAAATTGATATCCAAGTTTTCTAAAGGGGTTAACTAAGATTATTTTGCATACCAGAAATGTCGCTTTTGTTTGAGAATTGGTTGGTTCTCCAACTGAGGTACTTACACTTGAAAATCAGCATTGGAAATTGGCCACTCCACTTACAAATATGCGCCAGTTATTTTTCAAATTATCTTTTCAAGGAGACGGGTCCCATTCCTAGAGGAGTGTTTATCCCAATGCATGCCTTTTTTAGAAAATAGAAGAATATTTGATACAAATTTTAACGGCTGAGTAAATGTTTTATGGCTTCAGAGATTTTCGAGATCTACCTTGATTTATTATTCTAAATTCTTTCTAAGTGTGATACCTTGAAAGTTTTTGAAGGAATGCACAACATAGAAATGTTCGTAGAGAACACTTCTCAGATAGACCTGTTCATAAGCCTACCAGGGCAGGTTGAAATGTTCGCGAAGTGGAGGGACTGCTTGACTACTCGGTCGAATCGGTTTCAGTCAAATCCGTTCACTAATCTTCGAGAGATATCGCAAGATAAAGACGTGAATCAAGGAGAAACCATGAAATGTGGAGAAAATTTGCTCTCGCTACAGGATTAAGATCTTCATCGAGAAAGGAAAGAGAGAAGAGATACGATCTTTAACTTACGTCATATCTTGCTAAGAAAACTCTGCGATTCATAAGTAGCATAGTATAATCAATGAAGTTAAGGGAGTTAATTGAAGACCACGAGCCCTCAGCACAGTCGATTAAGACGACGTTTCCAGACATTATTGAAAATTCAAAAAACCTGTTCTTGAAAAGGCAAGTGTGACAAAAAGTATTACAGAAACTATTCAAGTTATTGTATTCGCGCTGTTTGAGCATTTTTCATGATTATCTTATTATGTCCAAAGTCATCGCAAGATGGAGAGGAACTTTGGGTTCTTCGCTATAAACCTGACTCAAAGCACAATTAAGGAAAAATGGACTTGAAAAAAGTATAACTAATTATGAGGAAGTGAAACTCGCTATTTCTGCCTATTTCGAAGATCCAAGCAAAACGTTTCTTTAAGGTACATTTAGTTAGTAAGTATAAGCAATATATCAAGCTCAAAGTAGATTATACCAAAGAAGACAAATAATTTCATATTTAATTTCGCACTAAAGATAGGCGCAGCACTAAATTTTCAATCCCGATTCCACCAATATCGACAATCAAATTTTAGGTTCCTAAATAAAATTCACATGGCCTTTAGATTCATTTCAAACAATATATCTTTTTCTGTAATATTCCACGTTCGTCGTACTAAAAAAACTGACATCTTCTGGTTATTCTCTATTGCTTGTCGTTCGTTTTGGTCTCAATATATCATTAAAAAGTACTAGTTTTATATAACATTTTCTGAATTCCTGGAAGTGGCGTGTTTTATCGGCAATGTTGGGATACGGTTTTTCCCGTGCCGCCCGTAAATTTTAAAGACCTTCGCGATACCGCCGATCCCGGCCATTTTAAAATTAGTACCGCGTGTCTTGCAAGTCACGATATCCCGCGCCCAACGCTATTTCGCAACCTTTCATTCGTAGTCCGTAAACTTTTTGACCACTCGCCGTATAGGATCATGCAATAAGGTTCTATACCTCCTGACTTACATATTTTATGTTCTTGGACTTCATAGGCGGATAAGAATCAGGTAGGGGAAAGTTCATTACATTGCTCCTAAAGAGACTTCAACATTACATTTTACTATGCTTTTTAGATCATCTGTTTACAGTTACCTACGAAGAAGAACTCCAACAGTTAGAATATAGTCAATTTCCGCACTCGATGCACACATATTTACATTGCTTCCATCTTCACTCACAAACCCAAGTAGAATGAGTGTATCAAGTGCCGAATGATATGAAGAATGGATGATGGTGATTTCAAAAAGATAACTGTTACTACTATTTGTGCTTGTAGATAAAATGTGATGAAAGAAAATAACTGGAGAAACGCGACGCGAACAGTCAAGACAAGGTTACTCACCAGAAAGCAAAGCCAATAACATCCAGCAACATTGTATTGTGAACTTAACTTGTGCTGTGCTACTAAGATTCAAGAAAAATAAGAAAAAAATGGCAAAAAGTTAAATGCAATGGCAAAGAATGGAGAATAGAATAATATAACAATGAAAGCAGCAAAAAAGATGAATATACATTTCAGCTTACATATGTATGTATGTATGAACGTTATGTAGAAGAATAATTGGCAGACTGACGGGTTTTAAAAGAAACGAGACCAAATTAATACAATATGTTACATATAGTTACACACGTACATACGTACATATGTATATATGTAAATATAATTGTTTATTTGTGCATAAGTACAATGCTAAAGATCAAAACGCAACGTCAACTGCAGATTACAATGCACACATACACACGGATATCCAACACTCGAATGCATGCATGTAGGTGTGTAAATATATTCACTATGTCTATTAAATCCAGTCTTAAAAGCATACAGACATAAAAAAAAAACAAAAAACTAAGACTTGGAAATTGAATTGTTGATTAAGGCAACACATGTGTCCCACAGATGATTCATGCTTGGCAATTTTTCTTTTTTTGTTTTATTCTTCGTTTAACAGAAAAGGAATTAGACGCACGACTCGTTAGCGAGATGAAAATATGCATATGTATGCAGCTTTATCTTGGTTATTTTAATGTTTAAATATATTTTAATTTGCGGCCAATGAATTTTTATCGTCTGTGAATTTATTTTCTTAAGGAAATTACAAGAATTTACACACAGATTGGCAAAGAGTGTATAATGATCTCGCTAAAAAAAAAGAAATTTCAAACTCTCATAGCATTCAAATAAGCGAGCTTTGGTCGTAAAGCGTCATCTATCGCCAAGGCGTGGGCACAACGCACAATTAAATGTTAAAAATTAAAACAAAATTTAATTTACAGTTAAACTTAATTTTAATATTAAAATAATATTAAAAAAAACAGGGCTTCGCCAGGCCAAAAACTTACTGGGGGCATAAACTAAAAAGATATAAACTTTTCATTAACCTCCCCAAACTCGAAACTTAGAATAATTACAGGAATCCTCACTGGTCACTGCAGATTAAGAGGACATCTGCACAAGCTGGGAATCTGGTCGACGGATCTCTGTCGTTTCTGCGATTCAGCTGAGTAGACACCATCTCACCTGTTTCTAGAGTGTGATGCCGTATCGAGTCGACGAATGAACAGCATAGGCTCAATGTGGCCTGGGAGGCCCTTCTGGACTTTCTGGCATGGGTGATGGGTGCATACCAAATATCTACCTAAGTATGTTATGTTTATTTTGTGTGTGTTTCGGTTCATATGTAACGATACTACATATTCCTGTTAGTGCTCGCTTTAACTGCCCTGTTTCGACAGAGTATTTAGCAGGTAGTTCGTTTTCGGTCGCTGAAATCCGCAGGAAAATATAAATAAAGTTATTTCTGCCTTCCTGGTTTCTGTGGTTTGCGCCTGCGTTTTCTTGTTAATTGACCCTTCAAAATAATTGAATGCTGTTGGTGTAACAGTCTTTGCCAGGTAAACATAAATCTGAGGTGTTCCGGTTAATTATTTCCGACTGCAACAATTTTTGTTGTAATATTTTTCCGACAATTTTTTATAAAAATTCAGTTCATTCCACAACAAAAAAAATACAAATATAATTTCTAACCTTTGTGCAAAACTCAGCAAATTTTCATGCAAATTTTCAACTTTTTAATCAGATTTTTTATAATTTTTTTGAGTGCGCAGTTTTGTATTTGTAGATTTTTTGTTCAGATCTTTATCTTCAACATTTAATAACAGGTCGAATCCCATATTTCTCGGACTAAAACTAGTAAAACTGTCAAAAAAATAAAAATTCGCTCAGAGCGGGAGGATAACATTGAAAAGTACGGGATCGCTTTCTAGTAAAAAATGGTAACTTCTGACGAACTTCAACATAACCTTAAAATTTTGGTTGAATTTTTTTTGCTTATTTTGTAAACAAAAATACTTTCAAATACATTAGAATCCAATTAAACACGTAATTAGTATATACTTTTCAACATGCATTAGCTGAGTGCACTTTTCTTTTGTTTACAATTTGGTTGTCAAACACACTACAGCTGTTCGTTTGACAAATTTACCAGCAAAAATTGTCCCGACACAAACTGGTAACTTCTGACAGAGAGAGGACCTTATTTACTCTCATTTTTGTACACTCAATTGTCAGGGAAGCGAGTACGGGCTCGACTTCCAGTAAAATCGGACTAATTTTGACTACTCCGGAATCGTACGGGATCGCAACTGATATTACTTTCGCATCATGTTAAATTGTTTTGTTAATATTGAAAAAAAAAAAACTCGAAATTATTCTATTTACAGCAATTGTGGTGCAAAAAATGGTAAACATACAAATAATTTCGCTCAACACTGTACCTAATTTTATGGTATTAAACTGCATACATACAAGTGAATAAAAATATTAGCAAAAAAAACAAACACTCAACTAACTCGTGGGCGGCGCCGTTTCTCACACTCCTTAAAAAGCAACTTCGAACTTCAGCTACCTGTATACTCGCATACATATTTGTTTAATCACGCGCATAATGCGACCTTGAGATCTTGCAAAAATTCGCTTATTTAGTAAATGAGTTAACCGAAGAGTAAGCATAAATTGTGACAGAAAAGGATCATATATAAAGATCCTAATGCTCACTTCGTAGTGTCATTGATTTGGGCTAACTTCAACAAATAACTACTCAACAGCAGCAGCAGCAGCTAGAAAAATAATATAAAAACAAAAAGTAATTTTTACACAAAACGGCCATCCAGTAAAATGCCATCACAACGCCACCACAATCACAATGCTAGCAACTATTTTGCGGAGAGCGAGGAAGAAGATGATGTACCGCCACCAAATAACGAAGTCTCCGATTTAATAGGATTGATTTTGTCAAAAATTTCACGCAATGATGGACCACTTTTCACATCGGAGGCGCTAGCAATGGAAATCGACTCTTTTGGACAACCATTGAGGGCAGAAGCGCCAGCAGCAATAACGCTGGAAAGACGTTCAGTTTCAGCGAATGATGCAAGGCGTTGGGTAGGAGACGATTTGATTCGCGAATACAAGGAAGTCCTTATACTTTTGAATCGCATTTTAATATGGAGATATCGGCAAATTTATGCAAATAAACAGCAGACAGCAATGAATTAGACGTAAGTTTAAGCAGCAATGGTTGCAGTAAGGGCCTTTGACACAAAAAAACGCTTTCATATTTCACGTAAATCACGTTTTTAATGTAAGATAAATGTTTTTAAAAAGTTTCTTTTTTTGTTAAGTAAATTATTTGAGAAAAATTTCGATTATTACTAATTACTAAAATTGTAAATTTGTTTTATAAGTAACCTCGAACAGCAAAGAGTTAACGTAAAAATAAAATTATTTAGGTAATAAAATGATATAATTTTTTTTAGCAAATACATTATGCGAAGTTTATTTTTTATTGTTGGGCTCGTGCAAACAAATTCCGCACAATTTTAGTTCTTTTTCGACAAAAAAGCGGAAGTTATTCAAACAATAAATATTTATCCGCCAAAAAAACAACATTTCTGACGCAACAAATTTGTTTGTCCACGTTTGTGCTAAAAAAAAACTCCTTACTTATAGGCATAAAATAGGAGTATTTTCTAATACATATAGAGCAGAGTTTTCCACGAATTTTACAATAACGAAAGAAGATGAAAATATTGTAGATTTGCATACATACATAAATATGTATGTTTATCATAGCGCTGGCTTAGAGTGCAAAGTTGCTAAGTCCATTTTTTTTTTATAATTTTACAGGGAAGGAAAAAACTGCGTGTATAAAGCAAAGTAAAACTCCATACGAGTTAGAAGGAGTCAAACCTTTTTAAAAGGTTTCGTATTGTCGTCAAGCTCAACTAACGACAGAAGCAGGAAGTGTGGAACTCCAACTGGGTTTGTCCGTAGGGACAAGGGTGGGGTTTTGGAGGCACGCGAAGAGTCACGCGAGGCTCTCGTTGGGCACATCTGCATTTATTACGCTCACGTACGAGTTTAGTCGTACTGCTAAAGTACCCAGAGCGAAGTTGGGCTACGGTGGCGCGAGTCTCCCGAGGCAGACAAAGTTCGGTCCCATCCACGTCGGGTAGTTGTGTTCCCAAAACGGCATTTACTGGTCGAAAGTCGATGTAAATGGAGACCGTTTCCCTGTGAATGCCGTTTATGGCCTGACGATATGCTGTGGGTCCAGAGGTTGTTTCATGAACCTCTGGACTTCGTACGGCAGTGGGTATCGATGCGTTGTTTGTGTATTACCACGTTGATGTCTTACGACAAACTGCTTTGAAGACAAAATGTTGTGTTCCTTCACCGCCGTAATGCTCAGACTTGATGAGATGACATGTGCTGTCGCCCTGCATAGAACTGGACTGCAGCGCCTGTGTGGTCGCCGGGAAAATCGTTACGCAGTGGACGAAACTACAGACACGCCACAATACAACACCCAGGACAACCACGGGGTGCCTTCTGATGTCGCCAGAACTTCACATCCACATTGAAGCCGAAGGGACACAACATCATGCTCAGCATGCAGTTCCTAGAAGGGTGATACATACGTCAGCACCCGAACTTGCTTGAGCTGAAGGACCAGATCCAACACTACGTACAGCACTCATGGGACTGGGACTGTACAGACAGGCTAACTACGGTATGTATTTACAGAGAGGCTGTTACCACCTACATGAGTGAATGCCGTCATTAGTGTACAATAGGGTGGTCCAAAATAAGTAAAGTCGAAATATCAAATTTCCTGGGCCTACCGTTAGTTGAGACTGCGGACAATCACGTTACAACAGCAACCATGTATTTTATGCATTATTTTTGAGTGAAAACAGAATTCAATCATGAAAAAAAAACGACAAAATAGGTATAAAAATAATTTAAAAAAAAAAATCACGCGATTTTTTTAATTATTTTTATTTTATTTTTTTGTCGGGATTTCTTGTATGGACTGTGTTTTGTAGAGATTATGTATGGTCGGGATTTGGTCGTGTCTGAATTATGTCTGTTCGGGATTTGGCCGTGTCTCGATTATGTCTTTCGGGATTCTGTATTTCGGGGTTTCGTAAATCGAGATTTCATTAAATAACCAAAAATAAAATTGAGTCATTTTAACGCAATATCCATACCTCCTTGCTTAAGGGGGCAGCGCAGAGTTTTGACCTTAATTTTATTAATTGACGTTATTTACAAAATATGAACGCACACTTTTTTTTAATTTGCACGTTGTCCTGGAATTCTGGTACCAGTATCTAGATCAAGATGGGTAACGCAGTAAATAAAAATCTTCAATATAATAAAAATATACTGAAGAAGCACTTTAGTACTTTTTTAACATAAATTTTGATTTGAAATGTTGCCTCTTAAATGGTCACGAAATTGCTTTAGCGAATTAAGCTATATGGGTGACCAAGGCATTTTGTATGGATAGTCAGTTATTCAGTTAGAGATTTATCGGTGAATTATATTCAACATTTTTCATATTGGTTGAATAAAGTAACAAGCAAGGAAAAAGGTTAACAAAAAATTTTTATGATAAAAGAATGTATATTCATCCCGATTTTTTAGCGGATTTGGCTTTGGGGTGCAGGTGCGCTAATTGGTTGACCATGGCAAAATGTATGTACACATATAGCGCACGTTTAATGATACAACGAAGTAATTCAAAATTTCCATTTTGTGGGAAAACGCTATCAAAGTTTTATCATTTCATACAGTTGGTATACAAAAAGAAAGATGGAAAGACACATATCTTCGCCAATTTTGGGAAGTTTGGTTATCTGTTAGACTGTACATATTCTTATTAGATTCCTGGTTAATTACATAATAAAATCTTCAAAAACGTAAATTTTGAGTTACATCTCTACATTATTAAACGTGCGATATGTACATATCGACGGCTTAGTAGAAGATCTACCTATCTCGGCAGCCAGTTCGAAAATGCCCTAGCTTAGATAATTTTTCAAGAACGCTCTTTTTCAGAATTCAAAACAGCCTAGCTCCGCTGCCGATTTAAAAACGCCTTGACTCAGCACATTTCCAATACATTTTCAGCTCAGATAGGACGTTTTTGGTCCGAGTAATGAGATGGGGCGAACTTCAACCAAATTCCGAGATAGGGTGTTTTTCAATCAAATTCTGAAGTAGGGCGTTATTGAAAAGTTTTCTGAGATAGGGCGTTTTCGAAACGGCTGTCGAGATAGGTCGAGCTTCCACTCAGCCGTCGATATGTACCATCTTAAGATTAATTAGTTCAATTACTTTGTTATCTAAACTGATCACAGGACAATCACTATTTGTCCAATTCTGTTTACAAAGATTTGCTAACATTTATTGGTACATACATTCATATGTACCTACATACATATGTACCTACATACATATGTATTTCAAAATACTTGATAATGCAACCTCAGATATTGCATGGGTTACTTCCGTTGCTGCAATCCGAAGATACGCCATAGTGTGGTTCCATTCACACACAACTGCTACACAGCAAGTCTGGTCGAGAAGAACCAAGTGGGGAAGACACGAGCGCAATATTAAATACAAAAAAGACCTTGGATAGTAGGAGGCATTTATGAACATATACATACATACATATACTTATGGCAATACATATTAATAATTATTTTTCCTGTGTCCAGATTATCCAAGATTTCGAAAGGTGAGTAGTGATGTAGGACGTTCTACCCAAATATTCTGTGAATGCCAAGTCGGTGTTGGTCCGTTGGGCGTTAATATGATTAGCTGCCAAAGACCACATATGTACGCCAAAATGTCTATGTTTTGGACAAAAATATTGACCCCCAATGGCTTAAAAAATATGTCATGCTATTTATATGTATGTGCCGAACCCGTATCCGCCGCCGTAATTTCAGCTTTCAAATCCAGGTGTTATCTGTTAAAGGTCACGCACATATATATCTGATAGAATGTTAATCCCATTTGAAAAACTATCAACACACGCACGTTCTTAAATTTACAAAAGAACGGAATAATGGATATAAATATTGAAGAAAAGGTAAGCCAGCAACTGGAAAAAAGGACATAGGTACGTACCCACAGTGGCAGATTAGTTATGAATTATCCACACTTTTGAGTGTAAATTTTTAGTTTTCCTTGTGTTCATTATGTTTACTGCAGTAAGCTATGCTGGGGGTCATTATAACTACAAGTACGCACGACAGCTAACATATTTCGTTCTACTTACATATCTATATGCATATGTACATATGTATGTACACATATCCATGCAACCAGAAAAGATTCTACGATAATACATACATATGTACATACATACAGACTTTAATGTTGAAAAATACTTTTATTTATTTTATGTGCGATTAAAATTCATGCGTTTTTTATGCAGCACAAAGACACTTCCTCTCAATTTTTATTGCCTTTGCTTTTGCTTTTGCTTTTACTTGTTTACCAACCAAATGCCAAATAGGGGAAAAATCAATTTGCATATGTATTGTATGCATAGCGCAAACATTTTCAAGAATCACTATTTTATCATGTTAAAACACATTTTGTGGCATATGAAAAACACAATAAATAAATTTACACATTGTGCTTGCAACTAATTGGATATTTATGATTCACCTTTTGTCTTAAACCATTCTTTTTTTCTTCAATAAACAGTTTACACAAGAAACTTTCACATCCACGCCGCGGAAAACACCCACATCACTCAACAAAAGACGACTTCCCCAATCGAAACAAGAACTTCCACTGAAAACGAAAAAATTCATTTTCTGCAAATTGTCATTTTCACATTTGCGTTCATTTAACCAGTGTTGCCAACTCCACACTGCAGTAAACATTCTCCTTGGAAAGACGAACCGTTTAACTCATTTTAAAAAGGAAAATCTCATTTATTTATTTGTAGAGTAGATATTTAATTTTTAAAACATTATAAAGAAAAATGTTGGGCTATCACAATGTTTATACCTTGATCTAGAAACTTAGCTGTATGTGAAAAATATTTTCACAAAAATTCACGTGAAAAAATGTTGTCAAACGGAGATGCATTAAAATTATTTGTTTGTGATTTATATGTCTTTCTCATAGTCCACTTGTACGACTATTTATTTTCCCACGCTATGCCTTCTGCGAATTTTTAAAATTTTAAGCATAATTTTTATTATTACATACATAGTTCCAAAGAACTTTTTACTCAAATATCTATGCTTACTTTGCAATCAATAGGGCAAGGGCTTTAAGCCTGTCAGCATGACAGATGAGATGAGACAAGACGTTTTATCCTTATATATAAAAAGCGAGCCTAAGCCCGGCCTCGTTTTTGCACTGATCGAATCGAATCAAATCTTAGCTCACTTTTTATGCATGAGGGTCAACTTGAAAAGCAAATAAATCAAAAAAATGTATTTAGCTATAAATTATATAGTTGGCAACATTGCATTCAACAACGCATTCCATGCTAGCGTTGCCGAAGCGTTGTGCTAACTGCGAAATTTTATTCTTATTATTTAACCTAAGATTTTTACAAACAGAACACGAAATTTTTAGTTCTTAAAATAATCAACATATAATAAGAATTTAAGTACAGTTGTAGT